CGCTTGGAACGCACCAGGGGGTGGCACATACCCGCACATACCCGTACTTGTCCTTCCGTATTGTACAGTTGTACAGTAAGTTGTCATCAAAAACAAATTTACATTTAATTGCCTGTGATTATACTTACTGATAGCCTCAAGCTCCTCGTCTTGGAGTTCGCGGGTGTGCAGGGGCAGGCTGCAAGGCTTGCCGGGATAGAAGCCCTGTCAGTGAAAAGGTCGCAAAGATTAAAAAAATGGGATGCTGATGGTGGTGGGAGGGAGGGTAACACCGTAACGGGCTTCTCGGGAAAAAAAGTATGTCATGTGTTCGTGCAATTGCAAATGATGGTGTTGGACGGTGGTGAGTAGGCGAACGGCAAAAGGTATTGGCGATGGAGTGTTGGTCTAGGTATTTGTTATGGTTGTTTAGGATAACTAGCTTGGGATGTGTCGGCGATAGGCAACCCGGCTGTTTGTGCGCTTCGGGTGAGCACACGTACGATACCGGTGCTCACCCACCTCGGCTTTCGCGGTGCAGTAAGCGTGAACGAGGAAGAATTGTCCATCAGTTTCGTTTGACCGAGTAACAACAGTAAACCTGGCCAGCAGCAGGGCGAGCAAGTAAGGCAGTGCCCTCATTGCGAAAGTTAGCGTCGATTGACCCACGCACCGCCTCCCGTCCTTCGCCTTGCTGTCCCATACGCCGATTTCGTTGTTCACATTTGTTCGTTTTCTTTGTGTGTTCATGTACCTTGTACCCGCTAAGACAAGCGCGACGATTAGCACGAAGTATCTTGTTGCTTTGAACGCCATTTTCCTTCGTCGAGATGATTAATTTTAGCAGTGCACAAAGGAAGATTGGAACTGTGGCTTCGTAAGCATGGTTCGCCAAACCATCGCGGGTCCTGCGAGTCGTACCGCAGGACCCACAACCGAAATTAGGTCATTACTGTAGGTCCCTCAGGGCAATTTTCAAAGCAAAACATGATGGCCGTTGGATTTCATGAACGGAATAGAGAGTTTGTCGAAATGCCGATCCCTGTGGAAACGTACCAGAAAAGACCGTTGATGGCCGTTAGATGAATCCAAGGTGCGGATGCGCTGCCAATTGTTTCTTTGTTCGCATAAGACCGGTATGCTGTTGGTTTCTGCGTTCCTATGAGGGAGTTAGTCTTTACCATTACCCTTCGGTGGTACGGCAGCACACCGAATCGAAGTTGCGAGGAGTTTTGGACTTTGGCCATATCCATACATAGTTTATGCTGAATCTGTTTAATTTAGTAGTTTGCATTATCCGACAAGGTTATGGTGGGCTAGTACGTAGGACACTTGCTAGATATGTCCATGGCTTAGTAACAGCTGCTTCTATCCCTGCTGGCACATACCGCAATTTGGTAAGAACATACAGATATCAAGAATGACAATCAATTCAAATTACCAAACGTTTTTGTGAATCAGCAACCCCTGTGCAAATTTAAAAAACAATGCCTGCGCCGGACAACGACCAGGCGCCGAAGGTTAAACTTTATTGGCGACTCGCGCGGCACACACAAAAAAGTGCATTATTTGATGACAAACGACAGGCGGAAAGTTGTATGTTGGTGCGTACTAAAAAGAACTTTGCACACGTCATCGTGGCATAAAGAATTGCGCCGCAATGCCTTATGCACCTCATTCCGAGTATCAGTCAGGAATTTCACCCACGAGGCCATCACCTCGCCGCATGTCGCCATGCAGTCAACCTTCTTAAGCGCTCGTTGTCCATTTACAGGAAAAGACAGGGATTTACCATGGCTACGCTCATCCCCGAACCCTAAGAAATCCATTCCCCCTCCGAATAAAACATCCCATCCAGCTGGGCACAGCAGCAAGCAAGGCAAACGCCGCGAACGTCCCGACCTCGCGGAGCTGGAGTTGCGGCCCCAATGCCATGATGCGCTTCTGCCTCTAAACGAATCACAACACGACGACGGAACATGATGAGCTTTCACGACACACCGCAGAATGCGGATAATGAAAATCTCCCCAGACCCGCAAGACAGTCACGTCCATCACGGCTGTTTTCCGTTAGTCCGTATTGCTTTTGTCCGTTTTGGACTGTATTCGTACTAATTGCGTTGACCGTTGACCGTGTTTTAATGCGAAGTTGATTTTTCTCTTCTCTTCATTTCTCCGTCCTCATCCCCACACCCTAAGTCAAGCAGAGGATCCAAATGCGCTGGACGCACAGTGCTTGTCCGTATGTATGTGCTTGGCGACAGCTGCATGGATGAATGGATGGCGTGATGGAGGATAGGTGGGACAGAATATGTCCACCACAGCTACCGCCGCCGCCGCCGCTGCCGCTGCCGCAACCGCCGCCGCCGCCGCTGCTCCTCCCAAGTACCAAGTGTCAGACACCACCACCAACCGCACAACCCACAACCGTAACCCATTCCCTCCACAACTGCCACCCACTTCCACAATGACAATGTAAACACCACCACCACCTCCTTTTATTGACAGCCCTCTCTCCCCTACAATCACCACAACCTCCTCCAACTCCTCCTCAGTTCCGTGGCTGCGGCAGCACTCGCACCAGCTCCACGTCGAATAGCAGCGTCTTGTCAATCATACCTTTATTCGCCAACACGAAGTCAAGGGCACGGTCACCGGCAAAGGTGGTGGGCTTGGGGCCCAGGCGCCGCCAGTCGTTCTCCGGGTAGCCCAGCTCCACAGGCACAATGATGCGCCGGATGCCACCAGGCTAAGTAGCAAAAGTACGACAAGTACGAACATGTACGGGTGTACGACAGATGTAAGAGTGGAGGACATTAATGGTGTACAGGAAGCGGAGGGAAGGCTCAAGGTGCACAAGGTGAGGTGGGACGGGGGAGGGAGAAAAAAGGGGAGGAGGGGGGGGAGGAGGTACGGCACAAGGTTTGCGTGTTTTGACTCCCGGAGAGAGGGCCGGAGCCGGGACTGATGACCCAGATCTGTGACCATTTGCGGAGAGAGGTGAGGGAGTTCGAGTCCGAGGAGGCGGACACTGCCGCGACCACCCTCCCTCTCCCTCTCCCTTTCCCCCCCACATACACATACACATACACATACACACATCTGCATAGGGCCCTGTTCCCTGCGCCCTCTTCCCCAGCCCACCATTATTAACCTATCCACACCGGATCTGTACGGCAATAACCCCAACCGCCACTCACTCCCTCACCCTCATAGACGCCACCGCCTCCTCGAACGCGGGGATGACTTTGCCGTCCCCCAGCACGAACCGGAAAAAGTCCTTGTTGTCACCCGTAAAGGAACTGCCCTTGGGCTGCGGATACGAAAATACATATACATACATACATACATACATACATACATACATACATACACACATACATATAAAATTTACAATAACAGAGGTTATCTCCTCGCTTTGGTGTTGATGTGTTGTGTTGACCCTCACGCCGACAACGGCCAAAAAGGAACTCATACCGTAGGAACACCCAAACAGTACAACACGCAGTGAGATAGCAAATTCGGTATGTCGTACACCGTACGCCGTACCTTGTTCCGCGCCTCGAACGGCCGTCCATAGTACCCAATCGTATACCCTGCAGCGGGGGGAGAGCAGGGGGGGGGAAAGGAAGATTACATGCAAAAAGCAAAGGAGTCAACTGGCAACTGGCAACTGCCAACTGCTGGGGGCAGCGTGGGGAAGATGAAAACACACACGCTCGACACGCACACGCTGACTTCTGCAATGTTTTCACATCCCCTACCTCCGTGCAATCCAGCCGCCACCAGCCCCAATGCCGCCCTCCTACCCGCTCCGCCACGTGGAACCCCCCCTATAACCCCTCCCCCCCTCCCTCTCACTACCCCTATGCCCCCCGTCCCTCGTTCGTGGTTCGCCTTTCCCCCCGCCCCCCCCTC